TTCTTGAGGGAGCAAAGTAAGAATTCTATTCTCTAATTCTTCTAGACTGCAGCTCTTGATGGGTGAATTGAGACTATTTGTAGACAGAGGTATTACTGACAGGTGTGTGTATCTGTCATTCTTATTGATTGTGTGAGGTTTCAGGATTTCTTAGTCCTCTTTTGTTTAATTTCTTTTTAGCATCATTTATTTTTTTCTCTGCTAGCCTCTTGAATGTGTTTATCTTTCTCTTCAGTCCCAAGTATTCCCTGCAGCATTCTCTGTAGGAATGCTGTGATGGCCATGAATTCCTTTAGCCTGCCTTTATCATGGAAAGTGTTTCTTTCACCCTCAGTTATGATAGATGGCTCTGTAGGTTATATGAAGCTGGGCTGGAAGTTGTGACTCTTTAGATTTTGAAATACCTCATCCCAAGCCCTTGTGCTTTTATGGTTTGGACTGAAAAGTTAGCAGTTGTTCTAATGGTCTTATCTTTCCTTGTGGCCTGGCTCTCCTCTTTGGAAGTTTTCCATGTACTTCTTCTGTACATTCTGGTATTAGACTATACTATGACACAGGAAGCCCCTCTTCCAGTCTTGTCTAGTCAGTGTTCTGTGTCACCTTTGTATCTGGGTCGGCTTCTCTTTCCCTAGATTTTGGGGTTTTCTTCTGTGGTTACTTTCTTCTGTGAAATAGTTTCACCTTTTGCATGAAATTATGCTTCTTCTGTGTCCATAATTTGTCATTTTTACTTGCTTGTGGTGTCCCCAAGTTCTTGCATGTTCCATCCATTTTAAAATTTATCATTGATCTTCATAAGCTGATCCACTTACTCCATTTTGTCTTCAAACCCGGCTATCCCATCATGATACATTCTGCTGGTGAGGAGGCTTCACCCTGACCTTTTCACTTTATCTGTTGTGTTTTCGCTTCCATCATCCTCTCAGTTGAATTGTCGTATTTCTTTACTTCAGTATTACTTTACTTTCTGTCTTCATATCTTTAACTGATTTCATTATTGAGTCAGCTGTTTGTTTGTGTTCTCTTGGAAGACATTTATATCCTCCATAAGTTGTTTGAACATGTTTATAGTCATTCCTTTGACTTTTGGGACTAGAATTTTCTCTAAGCCCTTCTCAGGAGTCACGCCTGTTCACCCATTGGTTTGGGAGGAGACAGGCAGTCCTGATTTTTCAGGTTACTTCTCTTTTTGTACTTGAACCTGCCCATGTGATGCTAGATGGTTGGTTAAGATTTTTGCCCTTTTTTTAAATTTGGGGCACCTCTCTTCTTCCAGTGAAGGGATTCAGAGTTCAGTAGAGACAAGGTTTAGTAGAGCCATGGTAGATAAGCTTTCCCTGTGTCATACTGGTGTTGTAGGCACTGGGTTCTAGTGTTAGTCCATGCCTGTGGGCCGATACTGAGTGCAGGAATAGCCACTATCCAGTCGTTGGCCTACTCTGATAATAGAGTAGCAGGTGACTACAGAACAGACACTTGCTAACAGTAAAAGACCGCAAGATAGTACCATGGTATACTACCTACCTAGTACATGTTATACTAGCATGTTAGTGATTGTGGGTGCGAGTGGCAGTAAAAGAAACAAGGGAGAAATCACAGTGAGTGATTAGCAATTTGGTTGCTAGGTGAGAAATAGAGAAAAGGGACCACCACAAACAGGTAAAAATGACAACTTATGGGCACAGAAGGATGAGGAGAATGTCATGCCAAAGACAAAACTATTCCACAGAAGAAAATAACCACAGAAGAAAGTCCCCAAATTGAGGGAAAGGGGAGCCGACACAGATACAAGAGGACACAGAACACTGAATAGACAAGACTGGAAAAGAGGCTCCCTGTGTCATATTACATTTTTAAAACTAAAGAAAACAGAAGAGTAGGCATACACAGAGAACATACATGTAGAGGAGTAGGAGTAATAGAGGCAAGCAGGGGAAAGGAGCGGAGAGTTAATGGTAGGTGGCAGAGATAAAGATATATACTCTGACATCATAAGCCAGGTTGGCCTCTGAGCTTTTAGAGATGTAACAATAGGAGGAAAGAGAACGGGGTAAGAGAAAAAGAGAGAGAGTAACCAGCATAAGCATGGGGGATGGTGCTGGTCTGCTACACTGCCTGGGGTATACGTAGATAAGGAATAACTGCAGAGGGCCGAGAGTGCAGTAGAGATTTAAGAGAACGCAGCCGGTGGCCTGGATGTTGGTTTTTGTCTCCCACGGTAGATCCACTGCCTTGCCTTCCTTGTTCTGCTCTGAGCTATCCTCCATGTTGATTTTTTAGTCCTGTTCTCCCATGAGTTTCTAGCTCCACCTCTACACCGAGTTTGCTTAATGAGCTTCTTGGCTCTGCTCTGTGAGCTGGAGATAGCTAAGGCAATCTTCACGCAGCTGCCTTGCTTCAATTCACAGGGCCTCAGCAGGAGTGGCTGTGCGGTGCCCAAAGCATTGTCCAGAGCTTGCACTTGGCTCCCACCCTTTCACTGTTCCCACTGGGACATTAATGGGGTCCTGGCGGCAGTCTTCTGGGGACCCGGTCGATAAAAATCTCCATTAGCACAATTTTTGTAGGTTTTTCTGGACGAGGCCTTTTTAGCCCAGTTGGCTGGAGATGGTTGGATTCTGCATCTGTGGCAGCACTGAGTCCAGGTCCAATAGCAGAGGAAGTTTGATGGTCAGGTGGTAGAGAAAGTTGGTTGTAACATTGATCAAGTGGGTCCTGGGGGCTGAGGTGGGAATTAGGAGATACTCCTGGTCTCTTTGTTCTGCTAACTTTTAAGCTCCTCTTACACAAAGTTCCCTTGTCCATGTATTTTAAAACTCTATGCTTTTATTTCCAAGCCTAAACTGTTGGCTCACAGGGTTCTGTTTTGGTCATTGTCATTCCCAGAAGGGTGTTTATCTTATGAATGCTGCATTTAATCTCAGGGAGCAACAGATGGCCAGCATTCCTGTGGGTAGGATACATTCACGAAGTATAAGATTTGAAAAAAAAAAAAAAAAAAAAAAGATTTGGCTAAAATTGTCAGTGCTTGGAATAACCCATCAACAGCAGCCTGATGTGTGGATCTGTCCTTACACAAGGATAAGAGATGCCACAATTTAAACAGTAACTTAGCCATCTGTGGAGCTAAACGGTCTCACTGAGTGCTGTGGCAATTGTGACAGGAAGTTAGTTTATCCGCCTTGTGCTGGTGAAGAAAGCAAATTTAGGACACTCAGGAGCCTAAACAAGTTTACATAGCTAGGAAGCATAGGAGCTGGACCTTGAACTTGGAGCTGCCGGGCACTGAAAGCCCCTTGCCCAGCCACAGGACAGGGCCTCTCCCAAGTGTTCCTCAAGTCCATAAAGGGCTTCCCATTGGATGTGCAAGCAAAACAACTGGAGTTCAGATGCCCGGAACCCAAGGAAATGCCTGATGGAAACAGCAGCTGCAATTCCAGCCTTTGAAGGTGTGCACATGTGACTCCCCAGGCCGAGTTATCTAGTAAGACTGCCCGTAGGTGATCCCTGAGTTTGATTGCAAGACCCTGCCTCAAAGAGTAAAGTGTAAAGTGATCAAAGAATAGTCCTAAAGTTGGCCTTTGACCTCCAAATGAGTGCACACACACACACACACACACACACACACACACGCACACGCACAAAGATAAAAATGAGCTCCTTGGTGGACTTAAGGCTAGCCCCACGCATATACCCAAGGGTTAGCTAAAATGTTTGGGATATTATATTGGCTACTTTTCTGGCTAATATGGGAAAATACCCAACAAGAAGCAATTTAAGGGAGGCAAGGTTTGCTTTGGCTTATAGTTGAAGGGGATACAGTCAGCATGATGGGAGAGCATGACAGCAGGGGCTAGAAGCTTCTGGCCGTATTATACCATAATCAGGAAGTAGAGAGTGGACAGAAAGTAGGGGTGGCCATACAACCTCAAGTCCCACCTTCCCGACCCACTTCTTCCCACAAGGCTCTGCCCCCTTAAGGTCCTACAACCTTCCCAAACAGCACCACAAGCCAGGGACCAAGTGTTACAACACATGAGCCTGTGGGGGACACTTCACACTCAATCCCCAGCAGGTTCTAAGATGGGACTTTGCTGAGGACTAGGGGAGGGGGATAGTGGGGGAAAGGAGGGAGGATGGGACTTGGAGGAGACAAGGGAGGGGGCTACAATCGGGATGTAAAGTGAATACATTTAAAAAAAATTGTAAAGATGGGAGTTTTCATCTCCCACAAATTAAATAAGAAAAAAATTTAAATGTGAATCTTCTCCCATTTTTATATATGAATCGCTTCAGAGATTTAGAAAGTAGGTTTGACCAGGACAAATTATTTCAGAGCAGAAACTGTCTTTTTAAAGAGAAGGGAAGGTTTTCTTTCTGAGCTGTATCTGCTAATTCAGATGCACTTATTGTCACATTGTCTCTTTTTGAGAGACTCTTGTAAGATTTTCACAGTAATATATCTTTGAGACAGGAAAAGAAAAAAAAAAAAAAACAGGCACAATGCAGTTTGTTCTTTACCATAAAAATATTTGGAAAAAGTGCCATCCCCAAACCAGGTTTTCAAACAATTTTTAAAATGAATGGCACAAACCCAAAGTAAGTAACTGTGCTTCACTCCCAAGGCTTGAAAACATAAATAAATCAGGATTTCCCCTTTATTCTCTCTTTCATTACGAACTGTATCTTGGGAACTAGAGAGATGCTTCAGTGGCTAAGAGCACTCAAGGGGACCAGAACTTAGTTCCCAGAATCCATGTCAGTTGTCTCACAAACATCTCTAACTACAGTGCTGGGGACCAACATTGTCTTCTGGTCTCCTCAAGCCGCCACACAAGTGTGGCACATACACACATGCATACACACACACACACTCACATACACACCATACCACATATCACACACACTGAGAAAGAAAGAGAGGTGAAAGTAAATGTTAAAAAATCTCTCTTCACCATAAGAAGGTCCTGTCCTTAACGTTCGTGTTACCTTTTCAACAGGGGACTTATTGTGTTTGAAAATAAAACCTACATCTTGGAACCGATGGGAAACACCACGGACAGATACAAGCTCGTTCCAGCTGAGAACATGAAGAACATCCAAGGGCTGTGCGGGTCGCATCACAACAAGTCCAGCCACACCGCGGAAGATGTCTCCCCTAGGCCCTCTCAAATGCGGACAAGAAGGGTAAGAAGGAATTCCAAGTGCATGTTTCTTGAGCTGAGAGCTGAAGGAGAGGACACACAGTGTTTAGAGGTCTGGAGCAACCTTGCTGCTGGACGTCCTATGAATGGAATGATTCCCCATTCCCCGTCAGGTAGGAGATGTCCTGGGAAAAGTATGTTTACAGACTCAAATCTCCGCCACTTCGCTGCAAGTGAAAACATCACACTCATTAATGTGTGATGAGGAAAGTTCCATCATCAGGGTCAGAGGATAGCAAAGTCATGATGGGCAGAGACAACAGGGTAAACCCAGGGTGGGGTACCCTGGTGGTCAACACAGCAAGCATGGATCATTCTTCATATTGAGGTTTTATCACCCAGGGTCTGTTCCACAGTTTCTCAGAACTGAGTACAGAAAAAGAACATGCTTTAGCCACCCGCATGTGCAGAAGGCCACTGAGTCTTCTCCAAGGGGTTTACTAAAGTCTCCTTTAGCCCATGCTGCCTGCATTTGTCCTTCCCTCCAGGACTGTGCAGCAGCCTGCCTTGTCTGGCCTCCTGCCCTGACTCCATTTTAGCTGCAGCGCTGGAGTTGTCAACTACAGTACCAGAGTGACGCCCCTCACCAACATTTCCCAAAATGCCTGTAACAACACGGCCCCATGGCGCCTACTGATCGCCAATAACATGGACAGTAGAGACCCCAGTGGAGCTTTGTGGGCAAGGAGTAAAGGGTCTTTTCTTCCACTAGATTATAACCAGAGCTCAAAGTATCAACCTTTTCCTTTTTTGTTGGTGTTTTATTTTGCTGTGTGTCGGTGTGTCTGTGTATATTACCTATTTCCTATTGAGAATAAATATTTAAAAATCAAACATATGGTATCCCCTTATGCTATGCCAAAGACAGCAAGAGTGTCGTGTTCTTCATATCTCTCAACACATTTTGTATTTCCCATCTTTGAGCTATATAGTACACACCCAATAGTCAACATTCCCTGAAGATTACTCTTGGTGCATTTTAACCCATCCATCCATCCATCCACTCATCTGTATTTACTTTACTTTTCTTCTTTTTGCTTTCCAGCAGTGCTAGAAATCATTCTCAGGGCCTTCTGCATGCTAGGCCAAGTGTAGGACCACTGAACTATACGCCCCCCCTTCTGCACCCTCTATGTTTAAACAATAAGAGTTATGTTCTGTGCTTTTGCCCCCTTCCTAGCACTCTCTTTATACCTGTACAAATGTCTGTTCACCTGAAATGCTCTAAGCTGCCTTCAGGTTTTCTGTCATATGATCCAAAACCATCTCCCCTATGATGATTCCCAAGACTGTTTATGTATAATGCTCAAGACTTCTTTTTTTCTGCCTCCTCGTAGAGAGAAGAGCTCTCCCCTTAGATTCTGGGGCTCACCTTGACATTGATGCTTAAGGGATGGGGGTGGGAGCCTGTCTGAATTCCAGGCCATTGAAACTACCCAGAAAAACCAGCAACAATGGTACACCCCATGATCTTAGCACTGTCGAGTGTGGAGGTAGGAGATAAGAGGTCAAGGTCATTCTTGTTACGCAGTTTGCTGTTATTTCAAAATAACAGCGAAATGAGGCTAGAGAAATAGCTCAGTTGCTAAAGTGCATGTACCTATACCTGAGTTTGATCTCCAGAACCTATTTGTATAATTTGTTTAAAAGCCATGTATGCCGATGCTATTTTGTAATCCCAGCAGAGAAGGAAGGAAGGCGGAGACCCGAGAATCTCTGGGGCTCCCTGGTCAGCCAGTCTAGACTACTAAACAAAACTATCCAAATAAACAAATAATAACAACAAAAGCAACAACCTGTGAACGGTGTCCTGAGGGAGAATACTTGAAGATGCTTTCTGGCCTTCACACCTCTGCACACATGAGCACATGCACCTACACACACACACACACACACACACACACACACACACACAAACGCACTCGAGACTTGGGTGATGTTCCCAGCAGCAGTACACCTCACCTCTGGAAGGGTCTCTCTTTCATTCCTCTGCTGCCCTACCTCTCTTGAGTGACAGGCCTAAGAGCTAGAATCGGAGACAGCCTCTACAGTCCCTCTCATTTACTTCACTCTTCACTGCTTTTGAGTCCAGACCCCAGCTAGGATGTGACTGAGCCAGGCTTCACCCATCATAAACAAGCAGAACATTTGCATTTCGTTTTCCAGGCTCTTGGCTTTGAGTACCTGGTTGAATGCCTGTTGCCCACATTGCATGATTTATAAGTTGACAGTTTAAATGATGCTCAAATGTGCTCCCATTTCACTTAGAAGTACAAACTTGCTCTGCACTTGCTGACCATATTTTAACTCTCTGAGCATACACAGCTCTCTAGAACCATGATTGGCACCATCATTTCCAGTCATGTTGACATGGAGAGAAATAAGAAACCCTGCCTAATGGTGCTGTTTTGCTAATCTGGGAGTGTAAATGAACCCTTAAATGGAAAAGGAAAGGCAGGGATGCCAATGCCATTCACTTCAACTCCCGCTGTTGCTCTAAAAGTTCTTGTGATGGTCTTCCATCACGAGTTTAGGTTTATCCTTAACCTCAACTGTGAGCATATGATAAAGATAGTAAAAAAATAATTTCCAAATAAGCAGAATACTTGGGAGAACCAGGCACCTGGAAGATCATTTTGGAGAACTCTTGTGATGAACAGGCAGAGCACAGATTCAAGTTGCATGCCCATTAGTTGCTTCACTATGCTGCCTTTATTCTATACTTTTAAAAAAATCAATGTAACTGCAGCTAATTAATCTTGTTTATGCAGTGTGCCAAGCACAATTGCTCTTCTCCAGAGTTTTCCTGACTCCCCCAACCCCCAAATGTTAACTGTCTCGACTTCTCTGCAGATGTTTGCACTGTTTTGTCACAGAGAACCAAGAATCCATCCGATTTCAGTGTTCATGCTGGCTATCATATAAAGCTGAGCTATTTGTCATTTTTACAAGGCTCTATATTAGATTTCAGTGAGATCCCCATTTGTTTCAGGAAGGCAGGAGTGTCATAGTTCCTCTCTGGAAATTTTTAAGTCCATCCTAATATTTCTTGGAACTCAGCTCACCTGCCTAGACTCCTTCCCTTTCCATGGGCTGTGTCCACAAGAATGAAATGGAAGAGCTTGGGGTGTAGCTCAGTGTGAGGCCTCAAGTTCTATCCCTGGCCTCACAAACTGGATATGGTGGTACATGCCTGTTATCCTAACACTCCAGAGGTGGAGGCAGGAAGATCAGGAGTTCAAGGTCACCCTCAGCTCCATAGTAGGTTAGAAGCCAGCCTGGGCTACATGAGACCACATGTCAAACCAATCAGAAATAACAGAAAAGGATTTTATCAGCTACCTCAAGAGGCTTTGTGAAAGAGACTAAGGCTAAAGCTACTAATAAAAAAAGTCAAGCCATACATCCCAATGGCAAAGAAGGGAATTGCTTCATGAAGGCAGTGAGTGGCTGTGGTCTTGTCCATCACTACATCTCTAGTATCTAACCCATCACATGGCACACAGCAAGCTCACAGAAGACACTGTGAGATGAGCAAATATTCTGCCAAGGTTCTGGCCACAAGAAGACAGGGTTGCCGTGGAAACCCATTAGTACCCTGGTCCCCCTTGCTCTTTTAGCTTGAGTTAAGCTCTCTGTGCCAGAGATCACAGCAAGCTCTTCAGGGGATAGGCAGACTCTGGGAACTTAGCTGGGTTGACATTCAGAGGTCCAGGAACGGGTTCTCTCTTGGACACCTTGTCCCCAACTCTGTCCCTACCATGGAGCTGAAACTGTTGGGCCATTCTCAGAGACTTGGCTTCTTGTTTGGGAACAAGCTTTTGTTCATAATCCTGCAGAATGAAAATTCAGTCAGACAAGCAGTTTCCAATGTTGCTTCCCCTATCACAAATTTAAAATGTTTAAAAAAAAAAAAAAACTGGACAGCCTAGATAGGTAGAGATCACATGGAGGTAATTTAAGCCTCTTCCTTTAGCAGGGAGCCAGCCACTCCCCTGTGGCTTTTCATTATGATGTGGTTAAACTTGTCTCTGAGCTTGCAGTTCTCTAAATTCATGAGAAAATGTGGATTTCTCTGAAAACTGCAGAGACAGGAAAATTGTGTTCATGTGTTTGTTTTCATTATCTGGGATTGTGTGTTTTCTAAATGATGATCCAAGGCCAGTTGGAAATGTCCCCTGGTCATAGATTTCACCCTCCACAGTCTGAAAAGTGTAAATGCCTAAGCAACCAGAGCTCTTTTGAAGAATTCTTCATGAGAGATTAATTTATTTCTTCATTTCCACTGCCATGTTTTTGTCTGCATAACTAGCTGAATCTGTTCATGGTTGAAGAGAGTGTTTTAGGAGGGAGTGGAAGGAGTGAGAAAAATAAATCGATCCCTAGGAGCCGAGGAGATGGCTCCATCAGTAAAGCGCATTCTACTCAGATCCCCCACACCCACGTATAGAGCCAAGTGCACCTGTCACTCCAGCACTGGCAGAAGAGTGGGCACTGCTGGATCCCCGGGACTCGCCGGCAGGCCAGCCTAACCGAAATGATAAACTCCCCATTCACTGAGAGAACATTTCTCAAAAAAAAAAAAAAAAAAAAGTCAAGGTGGAGAGGGTTAGAGGAATAAACTTATCATCAACCTCTGGCTTCCATCTGCATTGCACATAGGTGTGTGGACCCCCCCACACCCCCACAAGAGCATAACATACAAACACAGACACACACAAACACATGTGCATATATCACAGAGGGAGGGGAGGGAGGGTGGGAAGGCTTTTACTTTCTTTGGCCCTTCAGTAAGGAAAAGGCACAAGATGATCTCATTTCCGGAAGTGTCTCATTCAGAGCACACACCGGGGCTGCCTTTTCGCCTTTCTGAGTTCGTAGTTAGCACCGGGAAGCCTGCCTCTGCGTACCAAGCCTGATGGTTTCTCTTTGCAACGCCGTAAAAGCATGAGAAATTATACCTTTCATGGTACTTTATTTTCCTTCCTCCGTGAGGTTTCCAGATTTCTTAAGGGACACCTAAATTCATGAATCAGCACAGCTGGGCAGCAAGCAGGAACACCACTATAATACAAACATTTTTCTTGTAAAATTCTGTTTGGAAGACTCTGGACTGCTGGAGGTTTGTTTTATGAAAGATGTTTCCCTCCGGATTATGTGACTGGAAACCTGATTCAAAGCGTGCCTTCATCCCTCTTGCTTTTGTCTGGACAAGCAGTTGTAACATCAAGTTTTCAGCTTAAGCCCTGTACTAGACTTAAGTCATAAAGCAGCAATTTCAATTGGGAGGGCCCGAGACGAGACCAGCCCCCACTTCCTCCAACTGTGTGTTATTACGGAAACAGAATGCTTTGCTTTTTTTTGCTTTCAGTGTTTGATTTTTGAGACCACCCTCCACGAATTGTTTTATTTCCCCTAAAAAATGCCTTTGGGATCCTCCCAGTAATTTACAGACGAGTGCAAATGCCTTCTGAGGAAGCTTGATTAAAATGTTATGACCTGCCTCAGAGGCCATCTTGTTTGGATCTGTATCTCTACTGTTGACTGCCCAATTCCTGCACCTTGATGGACAGTTTGCATATTCTTCTCAGCTGCTCCACTCTTGCCAATCTCAACCCACCCATGTCATCTTCTAGGCCTTCTAAGAAATACCGTTTCTTCTGGACTCAACCTGCTCCTTTGTATTTTGTCTTTCTGCAACTCCCTTTGCCCCTCTGTTCATCAGCCCAGTCTGCTGCTTCAAACTATGTGTATAACTGATTGGCCACAAGCATCCAGTTCCTCAAAAAGGACCCAGCATTTCCCAGAAAAATCACACACAGTTTCTCTACAAAGTATGTTCTCCTCCACTTTCCTCAAATCTTGGAACAGATATACACATAACAGTACAAGAAGCACCAGTGACAGGCTGGACTCCAGTGCTGCCTTTAATGATCCTCACACCCTCATGTAATCTACAACAAGCCTTTGCTGGCTATGGCGCTAGAACTTCTTTGGAGTTGTTTATGTGCTCATTTTGTTTAAAAATGGCCGTGACTTCTTATGAACCTATAACCAATAATTCAGCAAGAATCGTAAACCCCTTTTTAGGATTTCCCACATGGCAGTGGAACCCAGATCACCCCTGTTGAGGCTCCTCTGAAAGATCCCTGGGTGTGGAAGTCGATTTCACAAAGCCCAGGAGAGGAGGCCTCCCTTTAAATGTTGTGGTTGTTTTTCTTTCTTTCTTTCTTTCTTTCTTTCTTTCTTTCTTTCTTTCTTTCTTTCGGACATGTACAATGAATGTTCTGGAAACATTAAGTGAAGTATTAAGTAAAACTAAACTCTGACTTTCTTTTGGCAGCATAAAAGAGAGACCCTCAAGATGACCAAGTATGTAGAGCTGGTTATTGTGGCAGACAACCGAGAGGTAAGGATCTATGAAACTTCTTATGACAACTGGTTTCAAAAAGAAATGAGAGGATGTGCTTAGCCAGGTAGGACTAGCTTTACCTCCATTGTTACTACTTTCTTTAAAAGTTTGGAGCATTAAAAATGTACTTTCTCAATGAGCAGTGGTGGCACACACCTTTAATCCCAGCACACAGGAGGTAGAGGCAGGCCAATCTCTATGAGTTCAAGGCCAGCCTGGTCTACAGAGTGTGTTCTAGGACAGCCATGGCTACACACAGAAACTCTGTTTTGAAAACAAAACAAAACAAAACAAAAGTGCTTTTCTGATCTAAGGAAGCATAGACCTTTAAGATTTATCTAGTGCAGTAAAAATAGTTGCAAAGTAAACCCCTCAAAAACACAGGTTTCCCTGTAGCTAAACTATCTGAGTATGGCAATCTAGGGGAGTGACAGATGGCTTTAAATTCCATTCTGACATTTGGGAAAAGTTGGGCATGTCTTAAATCTGAATGAATGAATGCATGAGTGCATGCATGCTACACAGACATGGTAAAGAAATCTCTCCCTCTTGTGATAATGGCTTTGTACTATTGGGTTTTTTCTTTCAATTCATTTTGAATCAATATTCTTTAGACTGATTCTCTTCCCTATGGTTTCTTACCATCCCATTAAGATATTACAAATTGGTAACATTTTTTCTCCTAAACTCATTCAGCATACATGAATGAATACAGCTTAACAGTTTCTCAGAAAACTCTTCCCAGTCTGGAAGGTCAACTTAGAGGAGAGAATGGGGAATTAGTTAAGTTATTTTCCATTCTCCTTGGACATGTTGCCATGAGCTTTTCTTGCTTCTCATACTTAATGTTTAAAAACAAATATAAAAGAAATTTCTCAGGAAGTTAAAATCAAGCTGATGATATGAAAAGTGGCTTTAGACAGCCTTCCCATTGTCCATTTTCTCTTTGCCAAAACATGTCCCTAACTCCATTATTTATGAGACTGAAAGAGTTGCTGAAGTTACTGTCTTGTGCACCCTTGGCTTGAGCGAGTACTAGGGGACTACAGAGACTCCCCAACAGGGGAAAGTACCTGGCACAATGTGAGTTCCTTGCACTGTAAATGTGGAGGGCCTCCAAGAGCACAAGGAGTCACCAGAGCAACCCAAGTTCACATATCAAGATCTGGGAAGAGGAATCCTGATATTCTTACCATTACTAACACTGGCATTTAAAATTGTTAAGTTTCAGAGGCAAGGAAAAGATCTGGAGAAAGTTAAGCACCGGTTAATAGAGATCGCTAATCACGTTGACAAGGTAAGTTCCTTCACAGGTAATTAAATGACTCAAATCATGCCAGTTTTTGGAAATGAGCTTGGGATAATTAAGTGCACTTCCTTTGACTAAGCAGAGAGACCGGGATCTGCCCCTGGGTCTTGTGCTGGTTCTCTAAGAGTGTCCAGTCTTCTAAACAGGTGCTTTCCAGGTACTAGGAAACTTAGATTTCCAGCCTTACCTGGTCTGGACTGTGGTGGCCTTCTGGACTCAGCTTCTGCTAGGATCTAGTCTTGCCAGGAAGTGTTCCAGCCTAAGAGAATTCTGGACAATGCATTGGAGAGAATACTTGTAGGGTACATTAAAACTTTGAGAACTTGGTAACTGAGTCTCTTCTCTGTACTCTATTGTGGAAAGCATGATGAACCAGTGTGGACTAGAGAGTAGGCTCCACAAGCTCCACTGTCAGAACCCAGAAGCAGACTTCTGGCTCAACCAGCATGTAAGATTTTTTTTTTATTAGTATGATATACATACCTGTAAGAAAAACTGTGGAGGAGGGAACGTTTATTTGGCCTTGTGGGTTTGGGAGATTCAGGCTGAGGTCTGCTGACTCCACAGCTCTGGACTACCATGGCAGGGAGCGCATGGAACAGAGAACAGCTACTGAAAGACCCTCACTGGGAACAATGGAGACCCCACTACTACTTTCACAAGATGATTGCTGGGGGATAGAGCCCCTGGGAATCTGGTTTCTTCTACAGACTGCTGGCAAGGAAATAGGGGTTCTGTCTGCCTAAAACACCCTTCTCCCAGGGATAATCCTACAAATTGGAATCTGAACACTTCAGGGCTGATGGCTCTCATCTAAAGCAGGGCTTCCCTCACTGGCTCACACATCAGTGCTGGGAGACCCAGGGGCTTCCAAAGACTTTTCTGACTTCTTATGTGCTGGCATAGTGAGAGAAGCACCTGAATGTTTTCAGATGTTCCCTGGAGAATCACTCATTCTATGTGGCTGGCAGCTCTGGGGTCCAAAGCCAGGAGTTCACCTTGTACAGGGCTGCAACTGTGGATGCCACCAGTGGAGAGAAGACAAAGCTGAGCTTCTCAGTGGTAATGTGTCTCCTACCTATGACAGCGAGGTGAACAGAAAGGCCTGGATCTAGCTGAGCCCCTCACATCTAGGCTTCACCAACATCACCACCTTTCACACACAGCAATTTGTGCATCTTTCTATCCAAGCAATCCTGTTCTGTTCGACTCAAATTCTCAACATCTTCAGAGGGAGGAAGATAAATTCATCTTCCATAAATTCATCTTCCTCCTAC